TTTTTTTGGACAGGGTCTTGCTCTTTTACCCAGGCTGGAATATAATGGTGCAATCATGGCTCATTGCAGGCCTAACCTCCTGGGCTCAAGTGATCCTCCCACCTCAGCCTATTGAGTAGCTGAGACCACAGGCTTGGGCCATCATACCCAGCTAATTTTTTAATTTTTTTGTAGAGACAAAGGTCTAATTGTAATATATTGTGAACATTTTTAATGTCAGTAGATATGGATTTACAACACCACTTTGAATGGCTTCATAATACTCTACTGACTGAATATACCTTATTATTATTATTATTATTATTATTGTTATTTTTAAATATACAGAGACAGAGCCTCACCATGTTGCCTAGGCTGGTCTTGAGCTCCTGGGCTCAAGTGATCCTCCCACCTTGGCCTCCCAAAGTGCTGGGATTACAGGTGTGAGCCACCACACCCAGACTAGTCTTGATTTTAACGCAAGGCAAAACTACAATTAGCTCTACACATCTTTTGTGGTCATTTCTTTTCTTTTAATATTATGGCATACAAGGTCATTTCTAATCGAACCCTGTTGCCTGCTTTAACTCTAAAATTTAGCCCCCAAATCATTAGTGGTCCTCTCTCACTAGTTTCAATCACGACCACCTCTAAGCCAATCATCCGTGGATTTTTACTGCCCCAGATCCCTCCCCTGATCTCTCACAAGTACTGGAAATTCAGTGGTCCCACACTGAGGTCAACCTAGACAACTCCAGACATCAAACTCTCTTCTCCCCTTTATTCATGATTTGGGCAAGCCATCCATCCATGTAACATCTTTAACTTTTCCAATTTTACCTAATATATGATAAATGTATAATTCCTGATGCATAGAAAATATACCTACTAAAGTTCATCAGTAAATGACTTAAATTATTTGGGATTGCTGCTTCTACTTAAGGCAACTAGGTACCTCCCCTTCCATAAATTATGCATTTGGAAAATAGGGCTAGCAAGTGCTAGACATAAATAATTAATAACTAAGCTTTCCTAAATGATGAATTCCACTGCTGTATCACTGCAGATGGCTGCCCTGTGTCTTTTTAAGTTTTGATGGGTGACTTTCAGGAGTTCCTCAGTGATTGCTTTGATTTGGGCTGCATTATTACTCTCAAAGCATGTTTTTCTGCTTGTTTAATTCAATAGTTGCCTCACTTTGTGGTGAGTGATTTTATCCATATTGTTTTGTTTAATAGATGTTTCTAGATTAAAGCTTCTTGTGTAGAAAGTTTTAAAAAATCAATGTTTGGTTCAGTTTTTGCTAGAATTTTCTTCTCTGTCTTCCTATGGCTTCTCCACAGGCTCAAAGTGCTGAATCTCCTTTTTTTTTTTTTTTTTCAGTTTGCTATAAATCTTTTTTTCCTTTTTTCTTTTCTTTTCTTTTTTTTTTTTTCCTTAGGGTCTCACTCTGTCACCCAGGCTGGAATGCAGTGGCAATCATAGCTCGCTGCAACCTTGAACTCCTGAACTCAAGCGACCCTTCTGCCTCAGCCTTCTGAGTAGCTAGAACTACAGGCACGTGCTACCATGCCCAACTAATTTTTGTATTTTAAATTTTTTTTGTTGTTTGTTTTCAGTAGAGACAAGATCTTGCTAAGTTTGCTAAGTTGCCCGAGCTGGTCTTGAGCTCCTGGCCTAAAGCAATCCTCCTGCCTCAGCCATCCAGAGTTTTAGGATTACAGGCAAGACCCATCACACCCTGCCTGCTACATATCTTCAACAAAAATTGCAACTGATTTAGGGAGTTTGTGTATATCCTCACTGTATTATACACAAGCAAGCCTTTTTTTTTTTTTTCTGAGATGGAGTCTCGCTCTGTCCCCCAGGCTGGAGTGCAATGGCACGATCTCGGCTCACTGCAAGCTCCGCCTCCCGGGTTCACGCCATTCTCCTGCCTCAGCCTCCCGAGTAGCTGGGACTACAGGCGCCCGCCACCTCGCCCGGCTAGTTTTTTGTATTTTTTAGTAGAGACAGGGTTTCACCGTGTTAGCCAGGATGGTCGCGATCTCCTGATCTCATGATCTGCCCACCTCCACCTCCCAAAGTGCTGGGATTATAGGCGTGAGCCACCACGCCTGGCCAAGCCTTTTGCCACTTAATAAGTTCCCGGTATTAATTTCAGAAATGGGGTATATGAGAGTATTGATAAAGGTATATTGTGGGCTACGTCCTTTACTTTGGACAGCTTACCTTCATGGGAGAATTAGATAATAGAAATCAGGGCTGAGAGGCATTCATTTAATCATCAAACTTCAAATGGATTCCCAGATGGAATTTTCAGCATAACCTAAGCCTGCTTTGGTAACTTCTCACTTCCATCGTATCCTGTCAGTTCCTTGGTTTGTCAGGATGAGGCTGATGGGAATTTTGGCCCCTGACTGCTGATTTCATTTGGTTATTATATGGTACTGAAAATATTTCTGCCTCATGGCTGATTAAGAAGGGGCAGAGGGGCCCTGCCAGGACTGATGTCCCAGCAGTTCTGGCAATTAGCACTGTTAATGAATTTGAGGTGGAGAGGGTATGTGTGTAGCCTTCTTTCATAGCATTAAATTGTCCCCTTATTTTACACCATAGTCTGTGTAGTCATTGGTAGGGAAAGCCAGGGATAGCTGTATTATTTAAATTCATATTTTCCTATGAAACAATCATGTTTTGCAGCAAGTTAAAGTGTGAAGAACATTCATCATAGAAGATTATGGAGGTATAGCAGTAGCGGTAGGTGGGAACTGAGACTTCTATGTGTAGGTATAAGCTGGCTTGTGAAAATCTAGGCAAAGAAATGTATGTGTCTGTGGATACAGGAAAAAATTCAGTTTCTCCTATACACTCACAACACAAGCAGCACAGAAAACTTCTGTGACTTCTGGTCAGCGAAATGTGTGGGGATTCTCTCCGCCAGCAACCACTCAGTTCTGCAGAGGACACCAGCTGGGTGTTCTCCAATTCATTTCAATTCTGATACTACTTGAAGATAGTGTCCAATCCCACAGGTTGAAGGTGCAATCTCACAAGACTGCCCCCCACTTCTGATGCCCATTGCAAGCCCCAGGATGTTTTACCTGTGCTCCCGACTAACCAACCAGAAAGCAGGATTCCCATAACCCCCTCCTTCGGTTTGATTAACTTGCTAGAGAGACTCACAGAACTAGGGAAGCACATTTACGAGTTTATTATCAAGGATATTACAAAGGATACAGAGAGAGAGACATAGGGTGAGGTTATGTGGGAAGGGGCACAGAGCTTCTATGCCATCTCTGGGCACATTACCCTCCAGAAACCGCCAAGTATTCCCCTGTTTGGAAGCTCTTCAAACCCACTCCTTTGAATATTTATGGAAGCTTCAGTATATAGCATGATTGATTACATCATTGGACATTGATGATCAGCTTAACTTTCAGCTCCTCTCCCTTCTTCAGTGGTTAGGGGATAGGCTGAAAGTCCCAACCCTCTAATCCTGCCTTTTCTTTCCAGTGACAAGCACCCATCCTGAGGCTACCTAAGGGCTGCCAGGCACTGGTTAATTCATTAGCATATGTAAAGACAAAAAAAAGACATTGCTTTGGATACTCCAAGGATTTTTTTTTTTTCCCTAAGATGGAGTCTTGCTCTGTCACCTAGGCTGGAGTGTAGTGGCGTGATCTTGACTCACTGCAGCCTCCGCCTTCCGGGTTCAAGTGATTCTCCTGCCTCAGCCTCCTGAGTACCTGGGACTGCAGGTGCACGCCACCACACCTGGCTAATTTTTTTTTTTTTTTTGAGACAGTCTCCCTCTGTCGCCTGGGCTGGAGTGCAGTGGCTGGATCTCAGCTCACTGCAAGCTCCGCCTCCCAGGTTTATGCCATTCTCCCGCCTCAGCCTCCCGAGTAGCTGGGACTACAGGCACCCGCCACCTCGCCCGGCTAGTTTTTTGTATTTTTAGTAGAGACGGGGTTTCACTGTGTTAGCCAGGATGGTCTCAATCTCCTGACATTGTGATCCACCCGTCTCAGCCTCCCAAAGTGCTGGGATTACAGGCTTGAGCCACCGCGCCTGGCCTAATTTTTGTATTTTTAGTAGAGGCAGGGTTTCACTGTGTTGGCCAGACTGGTCTCTAACTCCTGACCTCAAGTGATCCGCCCCCCTCGACCTCCCAAAGTGCTGGGATTACAGGCATGAGCCACCGCGCCCGCCTGGATATTCCAAAGATTTTAAGAGTTGTGTTCCAGGAAATAGGGTTGAAGATCAAACATATATTTTACAATATCACAGTGTATGTATATGATGATACCTGTAGCTGAGATTCTTCAATACATGGAATAACTATAAAGGCAAAAGTCAGGAACCAAAATATATATATATGATCATTATTGTGCATTGTAGGACCTTTTGGTCTTTTGGCTGGAGGTATTTTAAACAGATCATTAGAAGAATTTAATTAAGAATGTTAAAAGGAAAACTGATCTATTCTATGTTTGGTATCTTGGGTTTTCCCTGCTATGATTTTGCTTATTTTGTGCCATTGTCCCAAATCAGAAAAAGAAAACACTCTTGGGATTAGAAATTGCTCTAATGATTCATTCAGAGGGTTAACTTTTTTGTTTTTGTTTGTTTGAAACAGAGTCTTGCTCTGTTGTCCAGACTGGAGTGCAGTGGTAGGATCTCGACTCACTGCATCTCTGTCTCCCGGGTTCAAGCCATCCTCCTGCCTCAGCTTCCTGAGTAGCTGGGACTACAGGCATGTGCCACCACACCCGGCTAATTTTTACATTTTTAGCAGAGACAGGGTTTTGCCATGTTGGCCAGGCTGGTCTTGAACTCCTGATCTGAGGTGATCTGCCTGCCTCAGCCTCTCAAAGTGCTGGGATTACAGGTGTGAGCCACCACGCACGTCCCAAAAGGTTAACATTTTTAAAAATCAGCTTTTTTTGTTTTTTTTAACTAGATTTAGGTTGACTGTTTTCTGCTTGTTTGATTTTTTTCTGTTTGTTCTTCTCTAGGAAGCTATTTTGCCAGCCACTTCATTATGGGAGGAGAGAAGTTTGACTCAGCTCATCCTGAAGGTTACCTGTTTGGAGAGAACAGCGATCTGAACTTTCTGGGGAACAGACCAGTTGCGGTATGGCTGTAATCAGTTTACTCCCACTTGGAGCTTAAGTGCCCAGTTCAAAAAGTGTAACAAAAATACGTTTGCAGTTGCTTGTTCAGCAGTTTGTAGCTTGGTCTGAGTTGAGAGAGACGCACTAGAAGGCAAACTGCAGCCTCCTTGGTTGTATGGGGTCTCTTGTTGCTAGAGGACTGGAAGAGCTCCGGTGTCTTGTGAGGGAGAGGATGAGTCTCACAAATTAAACTTTCTTGAGGATCCAGATCTCTCCCTAAATGCCACCTCTTCAGGCAGCCCTTTTCCAAGGGCTTACCTTTTTTTTTTCTTCACAGCACTTAACACCAACCTTTTATTGATTTGTCTCTTTCTCTGCTTATTGTCTGCCTCCCCCTTTAGAATGTAAGTTTCATAAGGCAAGAACTGTTTTTACTGTAGTATCCCAAACCTAGAACAAAGCCTGGCACGTAATGTTAAGCCCTTAATAAATGATTGTTGAATGAATGACTGAAAGTTTTTCTTTTGATATGCGAGTTGCTAAGATAATACATTTCTCTCAGTTGTTCCTTCAGTTCATCTCATAAACTTCTATTGAGCACCTTCTCTGCATCCAGCAGGAGGCTTTGTAATAATAGCTACCAGATGGCTATTGAGTGGCTACTGTGTGCTAGGAAGGTCCTAGAGGCCCCTGTTCCATATGAAGACCACTGGACATAGGACTTATCACTCCATTTTTTTTTTTTTTTGGAGACAGAATCTCGAACTCTTGCCCAGGCTGGAGTGCGGTGGCGCGATCTTGGCTCACTGCAAGCTCTTTCTCCCAGGTTCACGCCATTCTTCTGCCTCAGCCTCCCGAGTAGCTGGGACTACAGGCGCCCACCACCATGTCGGCTAATTTTTTGTATTTTTAGTAGAGATGAGTTTCACCATTTTTTAGCCAGGATGGTCTCGATCTCCTGGCCTCGTGATCCACCCACCTCAGCCTCCCAAAGTGCTGGGATTACAGGCGGGAGCCACTGCACCTGGCTATCACTTCATTTTATAAGCAAGAGAACCGAGGTGTTTGGAGAGATGAATAATGATAGAAGCTAGGAAGTGCACACTATGTTCTAAGCACTGTTCTAAGGGTTTTATATACATTTTTCTCAAAGTCATATAACTAGGTTTGCCTGGTCACACATCAATAATCTTTCCAGTGCTCCTCACTGCCTTGAAATATTCTGCCTTCCCCAAGAAACTCCCAGTTTGGTGGAGCAGACAAAACACGGAAACAGAAAATGTTTAAATAACAATAAAGATCAGAAGTGATTGAATTTGGTGGGAATTGAGAGTGGGAGAAGACAATGGCAAGGGCAGGTTCCTTCAGTGTTATGCTGGGAAGAGGTGCAGGGAGTTGAACTGGCCTTTGAAAAATGGTGGGTTGGATGAGGCCTTTCCAGGGGTACAGCACAGCCCAGGCCTAAGAGCATTCAAGTTGTTGAATTGACAAACATTTACCAAGCAACTACTGTGTGTCAGGTACTGTGATAGGTGTTGTGGATACAGAGCTGAAATGAGCATGGTTTGTTCTTCCCTGGAACAAATACGGAAACCAGTCTGGCCCTATGGGAAAGGTGGGCCGGGCGCAGTGGCTCACGCCTGTAATCCCAGCACTTTGGGAGGCCGAGGCGGACAGATCACCTGAGGTTGGGAGTTTGAGACCAGCCTGGCCAACATGGCGAAACCCCATCTCTACTAAAAACACAAAAATTAGCCCGGGGTGGTGGCACACCCCTATAATCCCAGCTGCTCCAGAGACTGAAGCAGGAGAATCACTTGAACCCGGGAGGTGCAGGTTGCAGTGAGCTGAGGTTGCCCCACTGCACTCCAGCCTAGGGAACCAGAATGAAGACCTCTGTTTAACAAAAAACCAAGGTCAAGAGATTGAGACCATCCTGGCTAACATGGTGAAACCCCATCTCTACTAAAAATACAAAAATTAGCTGGGCGTGGTGGTGTGCGCCTGTAGTCCCAGCTACTCGGGAGGCTGAGGCGGGAGAATCGCTTGAACCCAGGAGGAGGAGCTTGCAGTGAGCCGAGATCACTCTTTTCTACTCCAGCCTGGGCAACAGAGTGAGACTCCATCTCAAAAAAACAAAAACAAAACCGAAAATGCCCTTTCTTCTATTAATAACATGAACTTGATGTTTGCATCTGTTTCTTTTTCCTTTCATCTGATGTAAAGATAGTTTATATATTTAAAAAAGTTTTGGCCTTTTCAGTCCATAAAGACGATATAAAAATAAGTAAATCAGGGATGTCCAATCTTTTGGGTTCCCTGGGCCACATTGGAAGAAGAGGAATTGTCACATTGGGCCACACACGAAATACACTAGCAGTAACAATGGCTGATGAGCTTAAAAAAAAAAATTGCAAAAAAATCTTTTTTTTTTTTTTGTTTTGAGATGGAGTCTCGCTCTGTCTCCACAGGCTGGAGTGCAGTGGCCGGATCTTGGCTCACTGCAAGCTCCGCCTCCCGGGTTTACGCCATTCTCCTGCCTCAGCCTCCTGAGTAGCTGGACTACAGGCGCCGCACCTCACCCGGCTAGACTTTTTGTATTTTTTTAGTAGAGATGGGGTTTCGCCGTGTTAGCCAGGATGATCTCGATCTCCTGACCTCATGATCCGCCTGTCTCGGCCTCCCAAAGTGCTGGATTACAGGCGTGAGCCACGCGCCCAGCCGCCAAAAATATTTATAATGTTTTAAGAAAGTTTATGAGTTTCTGTTTGGGCCACATTAAAAGCCGTCTACCCTTGAGCCACAGGTTGGACAAGCTTGAAGTAAATTCTGCTTTAGGTTCAACTTGCAATTTATGTTGTCTGGCAAACTTTTCCCAAGTTTGCCTGTGCCGACCTATGAATGTCTGAGCTCTTCCTGAAATGCTGGGTAGCAACCTTGACCTTAAAGTTGAGGCTTTTTCCCAAAGAAGATCAAGTTGGGCACAGTGGCATGTGCCTGTGGTCCCAGCTACTCAGGAGGCTGAGGCTGAGATGGGAGGATCACCTGAGCCCAGGAGAATTCGAGTCCAGTTGGAGCAACATAGCAAGACCCCCATCTTAATCAATCAATCAGTAAATGCCACTTTAAAAAAAAAAGGGACATCAACATTGGAGTTTTTGTTGTTGCTTTTGTGTAGTAATCATTAAGTATGCTTAATGTTGCACAGAGCAAATGAATTTTTTTTTTTTTTTTTTTTGAGACAGAGTCTCACTCTGTTGCCCAAGCTGGAGTGCGGTGGCATGATCTTGGCTCACTGCAACCACAGTCTCCCAGGCTCAAGTGATTTTCCTGCCTCAGCCTCCTGAGTAGCTGGGATTACAGGAGCCTGCCACCACACCTGGCTAATTTTTGTATTTTTTTTAATAGAGATGGGGTTTCACCATGTTGGCCAGGTTGATCTTGAACTCCTGACCTCAGGTGATCCACCCATCTCGGCCTCCCAAAGTGCTAGGATTACAGGTGTGAGCCACCGTGCTGGCGAATGTTTTTAAAAGACATAATCTTATATTAGGAAAGCAAATCAGAGTAACTTCATATAGCTACATAAAAATGTAGTATAGAGAATAAATGCAGTATGTTTTTCTTTTCTTTTCCCCGTAGGTTATTTGATAATAATAATAATGGCTAACATTTGGACACCTAGTTTTTGCCAGGGCTGATTGTTCTAAGCTTTTCTTCTGTGTTATCTCATTTTGTCCTCACATCATAATGAGAAAGGTCCTCATTCAACAGGTGAAGAATATGTGGCACACAGAGTTTAAAGACTGCACAGCCTGTCAGGGATCAGGATTGGAACCTAGCCGTCTGGCTTCAGAGCCTGATCCACTCTGCCATTTTGGCTAATTAGGCCTGGTGTACTCAGGAACTCTGCCCACAACCTGTTTGTGAGTCCATTGTGTAGATCTTCAAGTGCAATTTCTGAAATATTGATATCTGAAAGTGGAATGAGGCCAGCACAGTGGCTCACGCCTGTAGTCCCAGCTGCTCAAGAGGCCGAGGTCCATGGATCTCTTGAGCCTAGAAATTGAAAACCAGCCAGGGCAACATAGCGAGACTCTCGTCTCTACAAAATATAAAATAAAAAAAATTAGCCAGGCATGGTGGTGCATGCCTCTAGTCCCAGCTACTCAGGAGGCTGAGGTGGGAGGATTGCTTGAGCCCAAGATGCGAAGGCTTCAGTGAGCTCTGATCACTGCAGCCTGGGCAACAGAACAGGAACCTGTCTCAATAAATAAATAAATGAATAAAAGTAGATGAGTGGCAGTGATATGTTCTCTTGGAGCGCCTCTTCAGAGTTCGTGTTCCATGTGTAATTCCATCTGCTGAGCTGACCTCTGGGTTTTGCCATTACTGCACAACATGCTTGTTTAGGGGAAGGCCCAGAGATTGAAGATTGACGTGTAGCTTGAGTTCTAAACAGCTGACTTCCACTCTCTAGCAAAAGATCTTGGGTGTCAGCACATGAGTGTTAGGTTACAGGGGAACAAGAAAGAGAACAACCTTTTAAAGCCATCCAGCAGCATGCAGTAAGAGCGGCTCCTCTTTGCAGAGAGAATGAATATGGGCAGTGAAATATGTTAAAATTAATTGTTATATTAAGGTATAAATGCCATAGACTTCCTGATTTCTGCAATTTCCTGTCATTTCTGAATGAGCAGACTAAAAAGTGTATCATTTGACTGAGCTGTACTTCGCACCACAGATCTACCACTTAGGATAACCCATCAAAGCCATTTTTTTTTTTTCCTCTAGAGATAGGGTCTTGCTCTGTCGTCCAGGCTGGAGTGCAGTGGCGTGATCATAACTCACTGCAGCCTCAAACTCCTGGGCTCAAATGATCTGCCTGCCTCAGTCTCCTGAGTGGCGGGGAATAAAGGTGCATGCTACTACACTGGGCTAATTTTTAAAATTTTTTTGTAGAGACAGGGTCTTGCTTTATTGCCCAGGCCGATCTCAATCTCCTGGCTTCAAGCAGTCC